AACACTTCTTTGTAGCTGTCACAGACGCTTGCGAGACGTCCGTCAGCCGGGGACTTTCAACCCTCTTTTTGGTTCTTCTGTTGGTCGCAAATCAACTGAAGAGACCGGGCAAGTAGACCCACTTTAGCCACACAGGGCAAGGACTGATCAGGTCCCACAAGACAACACATGTCTTACACAGAGACGATAACACACACGCCTCACCCAGCGAGACAATCACACACATGTCTCACACTTGAGCAGGATTCCACCTCTCAAGACCTTTTCCCTGTCGACACCCTTCGCGACAGGAGCAGAGGAAGGCGCTTACTATTCCCCGAAGGAACCTGTAGACTGGCCAGTCCGTTTACTGCACCCTTCCTCGCCGTGCCCCTAGACACAGGCACCACAGCTGACTCACTTTCTTCCTTCAGCCAATCAATGACTGGAGTGTCAATCTCTTGACCGTCAGCACCTCTAAACCGTATGGGTTCTCTGGGGGCGAGCAACCCTCCGCGGTATACTTCATCTCGTTCCCTTAACTCGTTGGCCGCTTTGATCATCTCGGTTTCGACATCCTGTCCGTCGAAAAGACTCTCAATAGTCTTCGGTGCACCTTGAACCGTACTGCCAACCTGGTTAAGAAACTCTTTGACCATCATCCACGCAGTACGACGGTCCAACAACTTAAACCAGTCAAAGGGGACACGAGCAACGTGACCGGGTTGAGCGCCCTTGTACTGAATACCAAGGGACCGGTCCTTCAAATCGATATAAGCAATACCGATCATCCTGGTCCATCTCAGGAGGAATTCTTTAGAGTCGAGAGGAGTTTGAGTCTGCACTGTACGCCATACATCATGGTCATGCACAAACGGCTTCAAGTATTTGGTATTAATGGTTCTCACGGACTTACGGAAAAGTTCTTCAGTCGTTGGTACCACTCGTGGGTCAAGACATACTTTAACAATCGAAGGATTATCTTTATGAGGGATATCGACGACCCGAAACGGTCCGTAATACCAATCATAAAACTTCCAGTTCTTCTTCGTGTTAGAGTACCATGCATCTTTGTTCACGAGGACATATTCACCAACTTTAAGCTGACGTTCCGACACCCGATGTTTCCGGTTATAGGCTTCTTCCATCGCGTGTTGAGCTTCTTCCAACTTTTCCCTTACCGCCTCTTTAACCAACACTTGCGCTTCCAAATACTCACTAATCGGACCCGCCATTCTCTCAGGTACAACGTCCTTAAAGGGCGGAGGGTCCATACCGAACACCGCTTTGTATGGCAGCATATTCAAGATTCTGGCCCAAGTTCGGTTGAACTCCATTTGAGCAACCTTCACAAGGGAGGGCCAGCAAACCTTCAACCGTTCACACATGCAGAGCAACATTGACACAATTGTCTTCTGAGTCCTTTCCACCAAACCATTGGTCTCGGGGTGATTCGTCGACGTAGTTTTCGTCTCAATTCCATAGTACTCCTTAAGGTATTTCACAGCCTTGCCAACAAAGTTGTTAGCTTTGTCAGAGACCATTACCTTAGGATGACCAAAGACCGAGAAAACATGGTCAACCAACAACGTAGCAACCTCGAGTTCCCGAAGTCCATGCTTGACCGGAATCAAGATGGCAAACTTCGAAAAGGAATCAACAATGGTGAAAATGCCATAGTATCCATCATGAGATAACGGTAACGCAGTAACCTCATCAATATGGATAACCTCAAAAGGACGTGTCGGGATAGGCAACGGTTGTAACGGCTGCCAGGATAAACGACTCAACTTCCGACGCTGACAAATCTCGCAACTGCGAACGACTTGTTCCGTAAGGTGCAACGATCCCCTAAACACAAAATAGGGTTGCAATTCATGCCATAACGCCTGAACTCCTCGATGCGAACGTTCATGTAACTGCCTGATCCATTTCTTGGCAAGTTGGGCAGATATCACAATCCTTCCCCCCTTGACCAATAAGCCATTGATCAAGGAGTATGAACGGACTGACCGTTGAAACTTCTTCGAAGACTGACGTTCAGGCGGCACGTTGTGGAACTTGGTGAGAATCCGACTAAGATACACATCCTCTTTGTACGCATCTTGGATTTCACGCAACACCTCACTGCTCGGATTAGCAACTAACTCTCTCAGCGACGACTCACTCAGACTAGACGGCGTCTGAACCTCCGCAGTACACAACTGCAATCGCTTCTGGGCATCCAGTTTGCTGATCTGCTCCATTACTGGCTTAAGCTGACGTGACAAGAAGTCAGCGAGCTCGTTAGACTCACCAGAACGGTAATGAAGCACCACATCATAGTTCTGTAAAATGTCAATCCAGTTAGCCACCCTTTGCACTTCCGGGCGCTTCGACGTACGGAGAAGGTATTGAAGACTCAGATGGTCAGAATACACATCAACCCGTTGACCCCGGATGATGTACAGCCATCTCTGCACGGCATACACAATTGCCAACAATTCCTTCTGTCTCACTGGATAGAACTCCTGATGTAAGTTAAGTGACTTCAGCAACATAGCGATGGGACCATGCTTACGCCCATTGACACGTTGAAACAACACAGCTCCAACCGCGTAAGCGCTGGCATCGACTTCCATTTCAAACAGACAACCTGGTACCACAGGCTGGAGTTTGGCCGATGACATCAAGGCCTTACGAAGCGCCTCGAACGACTCCTTAATGGAAGACAACTCGGTTGCCAGAACCCTTTCTGTACTAGCTGCAAAGCGTTGAAGNTCGAACGACTCCTTAATGGAAGACAACTCGGTTGCCAGAACCCTTTCTGTACTAGCTGCAAAGCGTTGAAGCGGCTTAGCAAGCTTTGCATAGTTTCTGACGTAGCCGCGAAAGTAGTTGAACAAACCTAACGCCAGCTGCATCATTTTGCGCGTCAGAGGTGGCGTCATCTGCGCAAAAGCTTCTTTTCTCGCATCCGGGATCTCCATTCCCCGGCTCAGTACCTTGTACCCGAGAAAAGTAATCGATTCTTTGAGGAATTCACATTTCGATGCCTTAAGGTAAAAACCAAACTTCCTGAACCGTTGGAGCAACTCCTGGATCTGCAGACGGTGTTCCTCAATCGTGTCCGCAACTAACACAATATCGTCAATGTAGTTGTACACGCCAGGGATACCTGCGATCAACCGCGCGATCGTCTGCTGCATGATCGCGGGACTCACCTTAAGCCCAAAAGGTAACAGCACGAACCGCCAACGCTTGCCTTTAGCTACAAACGTTGTTATGTCACGACATTCAGGCCGAATCCGTTGTTGATGAAAGGCACTCGTTAAGTCCACTGCGGACATAAATTTCTTTCCAACAACATTCGCCACAAGCTGTTCCACCACGGGCACTTCACACTGGTGATTCGCAACGCCTTGATTTGCATCCCGATAATCAATACACATGCGCCATGTACCGTCCTTCTTGCTTACCAACAACAACGGAGCAGCATACTGGTCTGAATTAGATGGCTCGATAAGACCAGCACACCACAAAGCATCAACCTGACGCTCAGCCTCCGCGTCCTGTTCAGGCGAGAGTGGATACTGCGCCTTAAGCGCAGGCGAGTCTGGTTTCGTAATCACAATTGAACAATCATCTTCACCCCGACTTGCAGGAATCATTCCGGCAGCAAGTTCCTCCGTGAACGCAGGTTTGTTCCTCATGAGTGATTCACGAATCACCGGATCAGATATTCCCAGAAGCATCCGATTGAAAGCCTCCTCATTCTTAGCCGCTAAAGCTTCCTTCGACTTCAGAGCTTCTGTCATCTGAAAATCAGACTCTTCGTCCAAAATTTCGACAAACTGAGAGTCATCACGCTGCTTGGCATTCATCACTTGAACCAACCACTTAGATGCATACCCATCCAAGCTCAGAGAGTCCAAAGTACCTCTGAACACACGGTTCTCCAAGTCAATATAAGCATGGTATGACAAAAACGTTTCACACCCTAATATCATGTCTTCTGCTAACTTGTCCACAACATAGAACCAACCGACGTGATTGATCCCAGCAAGATCCACAGAAATCCGGACACGACACTTACATTGAATACCGAACTCGGCAGCTAAGCCGATCTCAAGTGGCTTATCGAACCAATTAATCTCATAGTTCGACAAGTCACCAAGCAACAGACTCTTCACAAAGTCAGCACCGGCACCCGTGTCCCACAAGAGCGTGGCCAGTGCCCGCTCACTATGTTCTTTCGTGGAACAAAACCCTACCTGCATACGAAGCAGACTAGACAACTTCAGGTTTCCTGGGTGCTCGATATGACATAACTTCAACGCCTCCAGCAACTGCAACGAAGGTGGTCCATCTGAGTGTCCCGGGTGAACAGGTTCCACAGCGTACGAGTCGCTGTAGACATCCTGCCATTCTCTTGCCAACTCAGCCAGCACCTCCGCAGTGTGCGGTTTGCGTAACGCATACAACGGTACAACCATAGCCCTTCCTAGGTCACCCGGCTCGGACCTTAGGCGTTTTTTTGCTCATCCTTCTGAGGGCAGAACTTGGCCAAATGCCCTTTCTCCCCACAAGCATGGCATATGTACTTGCTATAGTCTCTTCTCGTACCTTGTCCACCAGTCGTCAACTGATTGGTGTTTTGCGTCTTCTTCCTGTTACCTTTCTTCTGGAACTTCTTTGAGCCTTTGAATATCATTTGCATTAGCTCCAAGGCCTTAGGGTCCACCGACGAAGGCGGAACATTCGAGGTCAGCTGACCTGAGCCGGCCGATACAGACAGGTAATCAAATGGTTCAGGCTCCAATTCCGATCTAGCAGCACACCATTCCTTGAACTTCAGCATGTCATAGTGCGGGGCTGGCAACTTCCACCAGTTAGGATTGCGTTTCATGAGAATCTTAATCATAATCTTCCCATACTTGAGAGCAACATGCCACTTGTACCCCTTGACAATGCAGAGTAACGTAAGGTCACCATTGCTGCCACAGAAAGGCAATTGGACTGTGTCCAACCAGAAGGACTCCAAGGATGCTTCCTTTAACAACTTTGGAGGGAGTAACCCAGGATGACACCAAGCATACATTTTAGCCATTAAAGCCCCAGGGTGAATTAACTCACAACCCCACAAGGCTTGTTGGAACTGCTCTAACGTCCGACACTTATATAAGCGTTTCGCGAAGACGCTAGTAGCCCAACCTTTGGCTTTGTCAAGGCCAAGAACATCTTCCATCGCAGCCGCGAAAATGTTAGCTCGGGTCTTTGAAATCACAACCTGGTGTCCATACAGGACTTTCTTGAAGGCAGAATCCATTGACTCCCGAAACTTCCAAGCACGATTAAATTGCTCAAGTAATTTCAAGACATCGGTTTCATTCAAGCGATTCTGCTTCTCGTCAAGCGGACGCCAACCCTTGTCAAGACAACTGACAACGTTACTCATAATCCGTTCTTGTCTGGAGTCGGACAAGTACTCTTCCTCAACCCGCCGACGTTTTGCGTTTGGATAATAGAGAGACTGGTCTTCGTCAGAGTCCGATTCGGAAAAGGATTCTTGGCGTCTTCTTCTTCGATGAGATTCCATGGATGACCGAACATCAGTTTCTTGGTCACTGACGTAGTCACTGATATCTTCGTCTTCACTGCTCAGCGAAATTCCATTATCACTGTACAGTTCATCATCCGACGAGGAATCTTCGTTCGCACCAGAGTGCGCGCGTTCCACCTGAGGGGAAGACTCATCAATAGTCCGAGCGTCTTGAGGACCATTGCTTCTTGTATCCCCAGTGGATTGTTCATTGGGCTCATTCATCATTCTTTGAGATCTCGTTTGCATCGTTATTAGGGGCCACGCTACCAGATGTTGTATAATATCCGAAGCTCACTAATAAAACACTTGTGTTCTTTTCTAATCAAATCAGTCATATTTATACACCAACCTACGGCTTCCCACTTTGCCACCATGGAAGCTCCGGGTACCTTCTTCTGCATCTGTCACATGTGTATCGAGCCTTCACATGTGACTTCGTCTGGCTTCTCGAACCTTCCAGACCCTTCGACCAGCATCGGAGTCGTTCCTCAATAACTCCGATCTGGAAGCTAGCATTTTACACGACATTATCGCACTATCTTCGGATAGTGCACTTGTCAATTTTAACAATACAGAGAAGATTAGCATTGTCCTTGCATAAAGATGACACGCTGTACAAAGAGATTTACCATTTTTTTTTGGAAAATGAGTAGGCAACATTGACTTGGGCCACTTACCGTTAGTTACTAGCCTTTCGTACTGGTGTAGGGTCTCGAATTACCTCAATGGGTGGCGCAAAGGTGGAGATCACTTCGCGCGTTCGAATCTCAAATAGCTTAACATTTGCTAATTCTATCGTTTGAGTTATGGAACCGAACGACTTCCACATTCTATCACGGCCCCGACTAAAGAAACTAGTTGAAGAGAAATACGATGGAGACCCTTACTCATTGATCGAAGAGCTCTCATTCAAACTCGCCAGCCTCCAGCCCTCGTCGCAGCTTAAGTTTCGGCCCAGCTCCAGCCACCGGATATCGCAAGAGTACTCCAATCCTACCAATGAGGTGTACGCTTCAAACGCAGAAACACAAGAGTTTGCTATTGAGCATCACGGCTCGAAATCCTTATCTCAAGATAAACCTACCCTTTCTTCCAACGGAGAACGTCGATCCCGAATATTTGAGCTATGGCACAATATTGTATCCACGGAAAGTCTTGATGAAAACAAAGTCGCCTCCGTTGAGCTTAACACGTTTAAACCAACAACGGAGGAAACCGAAGTTGAACGGTATGATGTTGACAAATTTGGTTTCTACATCAATTATAATGCTCCCTTGAAAACCAACGGTTCTGCCCCATTGATACTGACAACAAATGGTCTGCCGTTATTAACATCACTAAAGGAGATATCACGTATACACGAAGGTTTCGAGCTTCAATGGAGCCGTCAGTGGCAATCATTGGTGAGTCGTATTACTAGAGACCACCAGCGCTCTCACAACTCAACTACTGACACTGACACCGATATATACGGAATTGGTGGTATCAATATTGGCGATGCCAACCGTCAGGAGTTGCTCACATTAGTCGGTGAAAGGGGTATCCCTCCGCAATTTCGTGGTGAGCTTTGGTTTTGCCTCAGCGGTGCCCACAACATACGCGTCGCTGGTGAGTATAATCAACTTATTCGTGATCTTGAGTTTCATGTTGATCATGGATCGTCCGTTGCTCGAAATGTTCGCGAAATCGATCTTGATGTCGTGCGTACACTATGGGGCAATTGCTATTTCAATGTCCTACCAGATAGAATCCCCGGTCCGTGCCAGGCCAAACTTCGACGTATCCTCCTTGCATTTGTGTCGTATAAGCCTGATATTGGTTATTATCAAGGGATGAATAAAATCGTGGGTCACCTATTGCTCTACTCGATGTACCTTCATCACGTATGGGATGAAGAGGACGTGTTCTGGATATTCGTTGCAATTGCTACCGAGGTGCTCCCAAAGTACGATTACCAACCATTTTTCAGCAGTATGAAAGGTATCAGCAACGACCAGGTGATATTGGAAAAGAAGTTTTTACCCAGAATGTTTCCCGAATTGGCAAGCCACCTCCAATCACTAGACGTTGAATTGGCTACGATTACCGTTAATTGGTGGCTTACTTTCTTCATCGGGGTGAAATTCCTTGACATGGAGCTATGGCTCAAAGTGGTGGATGTACTACTTGTGGTGGAGCCAACAGATCGTCTTTACTTGATGCGCTCTCTCAAGATGGAGGCTATGACATTGGCGATATTGAAATGTGTGACGCCAGCATTAATGCTGCTTGGAGATGCCGGTCTGGTGTATCAGTATCTTGATGGCAATCTTGGAGACAAGCCATTGGCAGTATTTAGAGGCCATGATCTTCTTCTGAGCTACCAGAGCATCATAAAACAACTCTCAGTGAATGAGTTGGCAGAATACCGTCGCCAACTCAGTTGCGCTGACCCATAATTAAGTCATGCTGGAAATGACCTACATGAGTAGTAAGTGCGATGTTCTTACCCCTCAATATTAAATTACAAACGCAAGTATCCATATAGATTCTAAATAGATCAAACTACAAACTCATCTCATTACCCTACCCACTCAAATTCTGCAGTCGCTACCCCTCCCCGCGTTCTTGATTTCGCCGTCTTCCAGGATGGTGGCGTTCGCGGCGTTTGAAAAAAGAACCCTATCCACCACACGTCCACGCCCGATGTTAGCCAGAGGGATGAGAAGCGCCGTGTGGGGCTTCCGGGTGTGTCGGACGCTTCCGACCCCGATGGTAGCTTCACCACGATTGCTAGCGCTGCATTACCAACCCCTCAGACTTCTCCACGCCACCCAGTGGGCGCGCCAACGTCGCGACGACAATGAACCCAAACGTCAGAAGCGTCAACAGCTGCCAGAAGAAAAGCAGATACGGGACGAGCTCCGCAATCAAAAGGAGAAGAAGAAGAAGCCTATTGACTTCACCCCAAATAACTTGAACGACTTTTCGCGTGGTCCTTACGCTCAGTTCGTTATCGGTTTCGGGGTCATGCTCTTGATCTTCTACTACCTTTCTCGCAAGCAGGAGATCCCTGACCAGTTGCTGTTCCAAGAGTTTTGCACCAACTATCTCGAACGCGGTCTCGTCACGCGTCTCGTCGTTATCAACAAGCACATTGTTCAAGCTGAGTTGGTTCAGGGGGCCACCGCTGCGACCACTAACGACAACAATGTGCACCAACTGGCTAAAGGTCCCGTGGTGATGTTCACCATTGGTAGTGTCGAGTTCTTTGAGGACGAAATGAAGGAAATCCAAGACAAGTTGGGCATCCCCGTTGAACAGCGGTTGCCGATCGCCTACGAAGAACGTGGGAACTGGTTGAACTACATCTTACCGATTTTGCCTACTGTATTGCTCATTGGTGGTCTCTGGTGGATGACGCTGAGGCGCATGGGCCAAGCTGGTGGCAGCGGCGGGCCTGGCGGTATCTTCCAAATCGGTAAGTCCAAGGCGAAGTTGTTTAACCAAGAGACTGAAGTCAAGGTCAAGTTCAAGGATGTCGCCGGGTGTGACGAAAGTAAAGAAGAAATTATGGAATTTGTCAAGTTCTTACAAGACCCTGAAAAGTACGAGAAGTTGGGGGCCAAAATCCCCCGTGGTGCCATTCTTTCTGGTCCCCCAGGTACGGGTAAGACCTTGCTTGCTAAGGCCACTGCAGGTGAAGCCGGAGTACCATTTTTGTCTGTGTCTGGTTCCGAATTCGTGGAAATGTTTGTCGGTGTTGGTGCTCTGAGAGTGCGTGACTTATTCAAGACTGCTCGCGAGATGGCACCTTCGATTGTGTTTGTCGACGAAATTGATGCCATCGGTAAGGAACGTGGTAACGGTAAGGTTGGCTCCAACGACGAACGGGAAAACACTTTGAATCAGTTGTTGGTGGAAATGGATGGGTTCAGTACCAGCGACCACGTCGTGGTTCTTGCGGGTACTAACCGGCCCGATATTTTGGATAAAGCGCTTTTGCGTCCCGGTAGATTTGACCGTCACATTAGCATTGACGTTCCTGACGTTGAAGGTCGGAAAGACATTTTCAAGGTTCACTTGAACAAACTCACGCTCAAATGCGTTGAGGACATCAAGCAAGACGACTTTGCCGAGTACAAGAAGCAGCTGACCGAAGCTATCGACCAGCTTGCCGGCCGGTTGGCGGCGTTGACTCCTGGCTTTGCTGGTGCTGACATTGCCAACTGTGTCAATGAGGGGGCGCTTATTGCTGCTCGTGAAGACGCTCCGGCGGTGGAAACTCACCACTTCGAACAAGCAATTGAACGGGTTATTGCTGGTTTGGAAAAGAAGTCGCGAATCTTGTCGCCGGCGGAAAAGAAGACCGTCGCCTACCACGAAGCTGGGCACGCGATTTGTGGGTGGTTCTTGCAATTTGCTGACCCTTTGGTCAAAGTGCTGATTATCCCTCGAGGACAAGGGGCCCTTGGTTACGCGCAATACTTGCCTAAGGACCAATACTTGTCGCTGACGGAGCAGTACAAGCACCGGATGATCATGACCTTAGGTGGCAGAGTTCTGGAAGAGATCCATTTCCCCACTGTTACCCTGGGTGCGTCTGACGATTTCAAGAAGATCACACAGATGGCGCAACAAATGATTCTTCAATTGGGAATGTCGCCCAAGTTGGGGCAAATCTGTTACGAGACTGGTGACTCTGGGCTGGGGTTCAAGGTGCACAACAGCTACTCCCAAGCTACTGCGCGGGTGATTGACGAAGAGGTGAAGCGGTTGATCGATGAGGCGCACGAAGCGTGCAAGAAGTTGTTGACGGAAAAGTTGGAGTTGGTGGACCGGGTGGCGGAAGAATTATTCGCCAAGGAAGTGTTGACCCGAGAGGACATGATCCGGATCTGTGGACCGCGTCCCTTCCCCGAAATGAACGATGCCTTTGACAAGTACATCAAGGGCACCGATGCGTTCAAGCCGAGAGAAACTTAAGAAATTACGTGTATATAGCCCACCTCTCTTTTAAGCAAAAGAAAAATAGTTAATCGCATAGCCCGATCCAGACCCTGTCTGATTACAGCAAGACAACGGCGGCTTTTGCGGGACCACCGCAAGCGTTTAGTAAAGTGCGTGCATAATCGCTGCTCACGTGCCCCGATCACGTCACTTGCCCACCATGATCCCCGGTTGCCCCTATATACCCCCATCTATACTCGCTTCCTCAATCGTACTTTCTCCACTAAACTTTTCGAATGACGCCTTCGGACCAGCCGCCCGCTTACCCCGACGAGCCGCCGCCTACTTACAGTCTGGCTACATCTAAGGACCCAGAGCCGGTCCGCACCCCAGTGGAGAAGGAGAGCGCCGAGAAAGTGTGGAAGACGCTGGCATTCCAGTACAATGTCCTCAGTCTCCTGCGCCACCCGCCGTCGCTGACGCTTTTCTGTAAGGAGACGCCGATGTGGACCACCGAACGTCTCCGCATTGACCGCACCTTCAATGGCAGGAACCTTATGTTACTCCCCAAAAGTGTCTCGGTACCGTCGTGGAGCTGTCTGCTGCGGTACGAGATCACGGGCGATAACGGGGACCGTCTAGGCTACGTCGAGGAGTCGCTCATCCCGCAAAGCGGACCGTACTACCCCACGGCGTGTATTGACATCTTTGACACTAAGCACGAGTTGATCATGCACTTAAACCCCAACCGTTCCGGGTGCCAAAACTATATGAGAGTCACTCAACAGGACGGCAGGCCCGGGTTGCAATATATCGGCAGCACTCAGACGGTGGACGACAAGTTCATCATTGACGTTGACGTCAGAGACGGGTACCCTGTATTCGGCAAAGCTCTCGAAGCGGAGTCATTCATGGTCCACACTGATGATGGTCCCCTTGAGATCTATCGCCAGCAGCGTTCTGACAGCGACGGCTACTTGATATGCACCCGCGTGAAACCAATCAAACTCCGGGCGAACATCGTGGCGTTCCTTCTATACTTGGACTACGTGCGGCGGTTGGGTCGCAACCACTTCGACTCGGCACTTAAGCGGGACATAAAGTCGGTGCGCAACCCGAGTAAATATGGGGGCAAGCGTGCGGTGTTGGGGCGGTGGATCGACCGGGTGCCGCTATAACGACGTGAGTACGTTTCGAAATCGTTAATTAATCTATACATAACTAGTTCATTCCGCATCCTTGTTGGCGTTGGCAGCGCGGTCAGCCGCCAACTTTTCCGCCATGGCGGCGGCCTGCTTTTGTTCTTGCTTTTGTCTCAATTCTTGACGCTTTTCTTCTTCCTTGGCCATGTATCTACCCTTGATCACGTTACCAATGGCGGCCAATTCTTCGTACTTGGCAATGTACTTGCCCTTGGTGGAGTCGTAGCCGTCGTCGTACAACCAGTTTTCGGTCTTCGACAACATGTCGCCCAACTTCGTCTTTTCTTCGTCGGAAGCGAAGGGAGCGTATTGTTCCTCGAGCTTACCTCTCAACTCGTAAATGTATTCTTCGAGGGCGTTCTTACGGTCCTCGGTGTCCTTGACGAGCTTGTCAGTAGACACCATCTTGGCTTCGTCTTCGATGTATTGGTTCAATTGCTTGTCCGAGTAAGCACCAGTGTCGGCAACTTGGATGGAGAGATCGTCCTTCTTGACGAGCTTCTTCACTTCACGGTATTCAGGTTCGGCTTCATCCTCACCTTCTTCTTCTTCACCTTCCTTGACTTCCTTTTCGATCAATTCCTTGACGATCTTTTCTTCGACAGTGTAGGCTTGTTCGATAGTGTAGAAGCCGGAGGGGTCGTTGCGGAGCTTAAGCTTGGTGGCAATCGACGATTCGCCTTCCGAGACTTGCACGCCCGAGATGTTCCAGGTGGCAATCAAGTCGGTGTCAATACCACGGGGCAATTCGTTGTCGGTGTACTTGGCTTGCACTTGGAAGTCACCCGATCTGTACAAAGTGATCATCTTGGTCGAGGGGAAGGCAGCACCACGAGGGAACACTTCAAGGTGGTCTTCGTCTTCTTCTTCCTTGTTCCAGTAGTACGAGACCGAAGAAGGGTTGGCATCTTCGAACTTGAAAGGTCTGACTCTGACGGTGGGCGAGTGAGTGGCGCAAATGAAAGCATTACCTCTGGCAATGGCTTCGTCTTGGTTCAAGGTGAACGAAAGAGGCTTGCCGAAAGCTTCAGACAACTTTTCCTTGATCGAGGGCACTCTGGTACAGCCACCGATGACTTCAATCGAGTCAATTTGGTCCTTGGAGACGCCGGCGTGGTTGAGGGCCATGTCGACGACAACGTGGACTTGGTCCAAAAGGGGTTGGATGTAGTCTTCCAATTCGTCTCTGGTCATCAGCGACGACACATCAATGTCATCCATCAACGATTCGATGTTGAAGGGGGCCTGAGTGTTAGCCGACAACACCTTCTTGATCTTTTCGGCGGCAGTCAACACTCTGTAGAACGCCTTGGGGTTGGTGTGGATGTCGATCTTGTACTTCGACTTGAATTCCTTGGCGAAGTGGTTGGCAATGGCCAAGTCCAAGTCACGACCACCGAAGTGCTTGTTGTAGGCGGTACCCAAAATCTTGAGCTCACCCTTCTTCACCGAGGCAATGGCAACGGAGTACTGGGCGTGACCAATGTCGACAAACGCGACGGTCTTGGGTTCGTCTTCGGGCAAGTCGTTTTGCTTGAACACACCGTAACCGACAGCGGCGGCGGTCAATTCGTTGACAATTCTCACGGGGTTGAGGCCAGCAATTCTCAGGGCTTCGGCAGCGGCTTGTCTTTGCTTGACGTTGTACCACACGGGCACGGACAAACAGATGTCGGTGATGTTACCCTTGGTTTCGAAAGCGGCGGTTTCCTTCAACTTGTCCAAGTACATACCTTCCAATTGAGCGGCGTTGAAGGTGTGGTCCTTACCCAAGTACTTGACCTTGACGGCGACACCGCCATCTTCGGCTTCAACGAGAGGGCAGGTGAAGAACTTCTTTTCAATTTCGACATCGGGGTCGTTGAACTTAAGCCCGAGGATTCTCTTCAAGTTCTCCGCGGTGTTCTTAAGGTTGGAACCTTGCTGGTTCTTACCGGTTTCACCGATGAATCTGTTCTTGGGGCCGAAGCCGACGATGGAGGGGGTGGCACGATTCGACACCTCGTTGACGATAATGTCAATGCCTCTGTTTCTGGCACAGGCAATCACCGAGTTGTAGTTACCTAAATCGACACCAAACGGGACACTCATATTTCTTGCTCTTCAGTGAAAATTTTCGACTGGTTATATAGGATAGTTTTTGGTGAGGGTGTTGCTTATGTAAGTGCGTGGATCTTTCGAGAAGCTTCGGAAGTGGCGGTCGGTCTATAGGGGGGAAGTGGTGGAATCTGGGGGAATGTACTGTGGAATCTAGTGGAAGCACGACGAATTTATGCGGGGAATTAACTGAAACACGGAGGCGTCGTCGTGTAAGTGTCGTGAGAAGCCTCCAGATCACTAGGGATCTCTTTTTGAGGGTTGCCTATATAATTGCCTTGTTTCTCATCTCTGCACTATATGCACAACCCTTGCCAGTTTAAGGGTCATTGCGAGCCACGGGGTGTGAGGTAGAGAGTTTTGGTCTTGGCACGCTGGCTACCCCGTCGTGCTCAATGACAATTGACCACGGCTCTCTAGCTGTCTCTGTTATCATTTTTGAGTAGGACGTCGCCGCTACAGGGCGGATACATCTATCGAGGCGTCACCCACATTGCTGATCTAGGAATTAAGCCTGCTAACGTAGAATGTGAGACTTTCCCCACGGACCGGTAGATGCCGATCTAGAACGCCGCTCCGGCGCAACAAAGCATAATTACATGGGACCCGGCTATGTATAGGATACACCCTGTTTTTACGACACTGAAGCGAAATTGGTAGCCTCGTGTGGGGCGTTGCCGAAACCTCGGCACTCGTGTCTGACAATGAGTGCGCTATAGCCGTCCTTTGTAGGTGGGGAAGAGATTGACAATCAGTGATCGGTAAAAGCCGATGAGACTTTCTTGATACTGTCTAGTTAACATGAATAATCGTTGGTTATTAGAGTCACATGAAGGTAAAAGAGAACTGTGGTCGCGAACAGCGGAGATGTTGTCGGCGTTTAGCTGTTATTGTCGCGATGCCATCAGTTGAGTGTGTACCAGATCGCGAGTGCGAACAGTGCCTTACCCAAACGAATTCACACAAAGTAACATAAACCTCATGCACGAAATGATTTTATTGGTAGTATGGACTATGGTATTGTACTTTTTCCGTAGTCCTAAGTTTTATCCTCAAATCTAGCCATTAACGTAGCGATCACCAATGTTGATTTAGTGTGGCTTTTGAGACCACGAAAATTTCACCTGCTACCCCAGTGAAGACAAATGGCGTCGTCTGCCGATGCGGTTAAACTCAAGGATGAAGGCAACCAGCACTTGAAGGAGCACCGGTTGGCGGAGGCGGTGGCAAGCTACACCGCCGCCATCGACCTCGACGCCACCAACCCGGTGTTCTTCCTGAATCGCGCCCAGGCCCAGATCAAGCTTGAGAACTACGGTCTCGCCGTGTTTGACTGTGACCAGGCAATCGCGTTGGATGACAAGTTTGCCAAAGCCTGGTACCGTAAGGCGGTGGCCCAGATGGCCATTTTGCAATACAAGGAGGCGCAAGCCAACCTCAAGAAAGTGCTCGAACTCGTGCCCAATGACCGGTTGACGTTGACCCACTTGAAGCAGTGTCAAGCCATGATCAAGCGTCAAGCGTTTGAGAAGGCGATCGCTGGTGACGGTAAGATCTCGGTACTCAATCTGATTGACTATGAAGGTATCCAGATTGAAAAACTGTGGCAAGGGCGATCGCTCGATATCACCGCCACTAAGGACCCGGAAACTAAGCAAGTGGTGGTGGACATCAAGGGCTTGGACCGTGAATACTTGAAGGATATGATCAAATTGTTCAAAGACGGTCAGCGGTTGCCGAAGCAGCACGTGTTTGCCATCGTTGCCAAGGTGAACCAACTCTTACGCGAGGAAAACACCCTTGTCGAGCTTCACCAGCGTCACCCTAAGCTTAACGACCTGGTTCCCGAAGATGCCATCGATCTTGGCCTGGCCAAGTTGACGGTGGTGGGCGACACGCACGGTCAATTCTACGATGTCCTCAATATGTTCGCTGAGTACGGTCCCGTGGACCCTGAGAACCACGCTTACTTGTTCAACGGTGACTTTGTCGACCGGGGGTCGTGGTCGTGCGAGGTGGCGCTCTACTTGTACGTGCTTAAGATCCTCTACCCGAAACTGGTGTTCATCAACCGTGGTAACCATGAGACTAACGACATGAACATCAACTACGGCTTTGCCGACGAGTGCGAGCACAAGTACTCGAAGAAGGTGTACGAGGCGTTCGCCGAGCTGTTTGGGGCGTTGCCGTTGGCGACGTTGGTGAACCAGCTGTACCTTGTGATGCACGGCGGTTTGTTCTCTGACGACAAGGTCACGTTACAAGACATCAAAAAGTTGAACCGGCTCAAGGACGGCAACACTCAACCGCCCAAGGAAGGCATTGCCATGGAATTGTTGTGGACGGACCCGCAGCCCGTCAACGGCCGCGGCCCGCTGAAGCGAGGTATCGGCATGCAATTCGGTCCCGACATCACCGAACGCTTCTGTCTCCAAAACAAGATTCGCAAGGTTTTACGGAGTCACGAGGTCCGCAACGACGGCTACGAGACCGAGCACAAGGGCCGGTTGATCACGGTGTTCCTGGCGCCCAACTACTGTGATGCCACCGGCAACAAGGGGGCGGTGATTGACATTGACGCCGATGACAATTACAACCCTGACGAAGACGACGGCGAGGGCTACCGTAACCCCGACGTCAACTCGCCGTGGAAGTTGACCCCCCACCAATTCGACGCGGTGCCCCATCCCGACATTCGGCCCATGGCGTACACCAAGTCGATGGGCTTCTAGAGTAACCTACATATAAATAGACACATCTCGTACACTTTTTTCAATCACGTAGGCGTCTTCTCCACCGCAACTTGCCTCGGGCTAATAGTCGTCAGCAATTTCTTTTAAGTACAGTATATATTTTCTCACTACCGATCAGGCAAGGCAAACCCCGCGCGTGGTACACTACAACATGAAGCCACTGACCCCACCGACCCCGGCAAACGACGACGACGACACCCCTGACGAGTGGGACCAGCGTATCATCGACACTGGGTGCCACAAGGAAAACATGGCCCTCCAGCTCTGCCACTTTGATAACGGTGACTGGCGTAAGTGTGCTAAAGAGATGGCGGCGTTCCGCGAGTGCTGGGCACGCAAGGGAAACGATCAGCGCACTGCTACCGTGCAAAACGACGACGCCGAGTAAGTCGGCAGCAACCGAAGAGAAAGGAAACTCGTGTACATAGGATATTTATAGTATGATATAATAGCCGGGCAATGTTGCCGTGGCGCCCCCAAATAACCATGCACCAGTGGCCGTACGCGATCTTCGAGAGGGTCATTAGCCATTTGTACGACCCCGCGGATGTGGGGCTGTTCCTTCTCGCCTTGAAAGGCGACCAGCGCTTTCAGGAAGTACACAGTGCCCTCCTCACCCAGTCGTTTGGCTTTGGCCCCGAGCCCGACCAGCGCCACAACGGGATCACACTTGAACACTACGCCGAGTGGAAGTGGAACCGCCGTCGCTCCTACAGCGAGACGGCGAAGATCCAAGCGCAGCTGAACGAGCACACGCGGTTCTGGCAACGCCAATTGGTGGTGTCAGGATTCACCGCGGTGTTGTGGATGGTGTTTGAAGTGGCGCTGGCGGCGTTTGGCATCGCGGTGATGCTCAAGTTGGTGAGAGTGTTCCGCGAGTTGGTGGAGCTTCTGGTGGCGGTGGTGCACGACTACGGCGTCTACATCTTGGCGTTGGTAATTGTGTTTACCACGTTGACCTTTCTTCGTGGTCAATTTATCGTTTAGCCCGATATAGGTTGGTAAATCAAAATGTCGTTTGTATATTAAATTCTTATAGCGCCAGGCTAATGGTGTTCGGGACGGAGATCGTTGCGCCTCGGCGCCTCCAACGGATGGAGCTGGGCAAGATAGGTGAACGCCCACATCAAGTAGCACATGGCCAAACCAAGAATGAGCGACGACCGCCACACGGTGCGGTTCGTCGCCGGCGACGCCACCCACAGCACGCCGCAGAGCGCCGCAGTGACGACAAACATTATGACAACGGTCCACCTGCGGTTAGTATCACATCAAAATGTGATTGGCACCAAGTTAGCGCCGGTTTTTCAGGTTACTTACCCACTCATTGCTTGCTGGAGGTTGGAGTATATGGCGGTGGCTAAGTGCGAGTGCTCGCCGACTGTATGCAGGGACTACCACCAATATAGTTACTGACCACTACTCACTGGGAGCGACCTCCACTCGCCGTTTCACCTCCGCCATTGCCTTGATTTGGGGTCATTCCTCCGAGCTTTATCGTCATACCGTGAGCAATTTTACCCTTGTGATCGCGGAAACACCACCCATCCCCTTGTTCGACGCCACCCATGAGTGTACCCGCCCTGGTGACCAACTGGCTCTACCAGGTGATCCAGCCCCAGTACGTCGACAAGGAAACCGTCTACAACCACGTGTGCCAGTTCTTGGGCGTACACTACCGCCAGAACCTTCGGTTTAAGGTGAAAACCCGCGAATTCATCGACCCGCAACTGGGCCAGTCAGCCTTACTTGTTAACCTTAGTGGCACGATTCCTGCGCTGGTGCAACAGGTGTACGCTCCCGGTACGCATCCCAACCCCGTACCCATTGACATTTGGATCCCGTTCAATTACCCCGAGCAGATACCCGTCGTCTACGCCCAGGCCGACCACTCCCACGGTCTCTACCTCCAGGCGAACAATAACTTCGATACGCTGGGACGCTTCTACCACCCGATGCTTCTGCAGTGGCATCTGGACCCGCGTAACCCGCACAACAACTTGCTCAGCCTTATGGACGTGGTGGTGCAACTGGTGCTGGCCAATTCTCCCGTCACTGGCCACCGACCTGAAGCCATTGCTCCCGCCAAGCCAGCTAAAGTCGGTGCTACTAATACTGGGACATCTTCAGGGCCACAATTAACTCCACAGTCTACGTCAGGTAGCCGCCAGACCACGGGGCCGCCCCTCCCGTTGAAACCACAAACCACGGCTACGGGGCTACAGCCACCGCTACCGCCAAAACCGTACGCACAACAGGATAAACCACTACCACATATCCCCAATGGTGTTCCTCAGCCATCGCCGATGCTGCCACCACCTGTACCATACCCTCAAAATCTGCATTTCCATCATCAGCACCGGCAGCAGCCAGCACCGCCCCCCCCTCATATGCATGCGTCATCCGGACCTCAGCAATTACCCTATCCTCAAACGAACACGCCTCAACGGATACCACAGGCCACATCTCTTCCGTACCCAGCGCATACTCCATCTCCTCATCAGGCGTTGCCATACACGGGATCACCCACGCCCCCTTCACGCAACCAGACCATCAACCCCGACATTCTTGACACTGTGGGCCCTGAGTCTTCCACTACCACTTCTGCCAAAGATCAGCACACTCAACATCGGGTGATGGCAGCAGTGGCGCTGGTGGTGCCTCAAATCCAACCTCCCACCGACGAAATCGACGCTAACCACGCTAAAACGGAGGTGTTAAGTCAACAGCTTGGCCATCACCTTCAACAAGCGAAAGAAAATGAAAAAATCCTCGATGGCCATGTCGACTACCTCCGTCAACAATTGAGTCTGCTCCAGGCGAGCAACCAGCGGCTCCAGAAATTGGAGATTGCCAACAGTGAGGACAAGTCAATCATATACACCGCCATTGACAACAACGGAACTCCTCAGGCGCCAGTGGATATTAAGGACTACGTGGTGCCTGATCTGGTTCTTGTGGGCCAGCTCTACGATGTGGTTGCCGACATCAAAGCTACCAAGGATTGCATAAACTTGATTGGAGGTAAATTTCCTCAAGCTTCAGAGTTAATTAACGACGCCAACATTGATCAGCTGGTGAAAGTATTGCGCAATTTAGGGCGAGAACTTTTTTGGCTTGAGTTGATGAAGACCGAGGTTGGGCGTGAGCTAGGGTTAAAACAGTAAAATGCATAGACTCGTTTATTATATGATCACGAGGTAACACTCGTTGGTGTAGTAGATATGACGGGATTGCGGCCCAGAAGTTGGTCGCGATAGCGTTGATGACGTTGGGGATCAAGCTCAACTAGAAGGTTCAACCATTCAGTAATGTTTTCATCGACGATCGGTCGTTGCGCTTCGCGATTAAGCAAGGCAGTGATGAGCACCATAGACTTGAGACACCACACGTCGTGCTTGCCATTCTCGTCCAATTCCAAGTCATCGAGTTCTTTCACTTTGGCTAGTTGGTCTCGAAGAATGGTTTCATATACGCCTCTTTGCTTTAATTCAGTTACCAAAAGCGGATCAGTGACGAGCCATTGGAGATACGTCCATACCGAGGTGTCGCTAGAGTCCATGTACATCCCCGTGGTGACAAGCTCTAGCTCGTTGGCCATTAGCTTTTCTGGATCAGAAAACATCGGCTGGTCGGTGACATTTAGCTCGTGTACTCTGGTGATGATTTTGGGGATCAATTGTGATCGATTGTGCCAAGCACTGAAGTTGGAGATATTGCCCAGGATCTTCAACGTGGTATATTCGAACTCCTTGAGATCCGTGGCTAGCTGTTGTTCTGGCCGCTGGCCAAGCTCTATCTGGCTCACGACAAACCGACGATATTGCCACCCGTGGAAATTGCGGATGTCCAAGTCCAAGAGCATCAGGACCAACGCAAACTCTTTCTCCCAGTTGGCGTCGTCTTTAAGCGATAATAGACACCACCGCCGATGGTTCCACACCCAGTAGCACTTAGGAAACCGTTTGAGCATCGCCATCACCATCTTAAGGTCCTCGGCAAGGTGGCGCTTCACCTTATCGGTGTCAAGCCCCCAGTGCTCCAAAATCTCTCGTCGAATGTTCCATATGGTGTAGAATTCGGGATTGAGCGTGAGGAGAGTGGTGGTGTTGGTGAAACTGGTGTCGTCGTACTGTTGGCGGTGGTCAAGCACGAGCTTAGTGAGCTGGCGGTAGGTGGCGATCTTCGCCTCATCCTGGGCTTCTTTCTCTCGGAGTTCGGCGTCGGACCAGTGCTTACGCTTGACACCGTGTTGCTAATCAGTTAGTTTAATCTGGAGCGATTTTTGTTGTGACACCGAAATTTCGGATGCTTACCATATCGGGTGAGGGGGCGAAACGATCGGTTGAATAATTTCGCACTCGTAGACGTAAAGATATGATCAAGCGAGGCTACCTTAACTAAAAGCAAGGGCACAATGACAACGCCTACACCAATGTGGCACAAAAAGAGTGCCGGCATCGGTCACTAGTTATTGTGAATTTCGGCCCAGCGGGACGCCGACCTTAGTGTCGGTTTTGATGGCCTTGCGACAATTGACTCCACCCCGAAAAGTGACATTTTGTGAGCTACCGCAACCGCAACCAGATCCAGACTGGTGCGAAAGAGTGACGACAACGACGCCGACAACCACGCTAGCCGTAGGATGCAGTCAAACCAGCCGTGACAGTTTCCGCCCTTTAGCAGTGACTGGCATGAACCCAGCCCTTAACTCGAATTTAATGTCTAGCAGATATATTGCCGCCCCACAGCGGAGAGCACCTGTCCTATCTTCTGCGAAATTTGATTGTCGGGATTATTTTTGGGTCGCCAGTCCACCGTTTCTCTCACACTGTCAGTTGTATCTCCGCCTGGTTTCCGTGTCGGGCCCCGCTGTCGGGCCCCGCTGTCGGGCCGACTGTTGTGCCTGTTTGCCGAAGCAGGCAGTGTTAAAATTTGTCAACATTTGTCAGCCACATCCATTACTTAACCCACTAAATTGCTTACACTACACGACACTACCGCTGTCGATTGATGGGTGTACTAGAGAAATTTCGACGCCACCAGGGTCGATCGCCTCTCGGTCTGGCAGACGCCAACGGAGGCGATAGTGCCAATTCTCACGAGACCAATGTGGATAATGAAACCCCCCTGGCATTGTAGCAAATCTACGGTGAGCGGTCGTTTTGGGACCCTGAAGTCCGGTCAGTGTATCCCAACATCGTCAAGAGCTTTGCAAAGCATTATCTTTTGGTGGCGGTGTGTATGGGCGGTATCTTTTCGATCTACTGGGGGTCTATGATGCACAAAAACGACCACCAAAAGTATTTGAAGATGTTGGTGATGATTGAGGACACCGAGACCGTCGACGGCGTACCTCCTACTATCGGCAATGAAATTATTGACATTCTCTTTACCCCTGAAGCCCGCGAGATTGGGGACTGGAGTGTATACACCCCACAAAATTTCAGCACCATCCAGCCGAAACATACCACCACGGTTGAAGAAAAGCACTCGACAACTTGATACCATCACCAGAGAATGTGGGGGGTCATTCACGTTAAGAAGGATGCCACCAGTCGGCTTTACAAAGCAATGATGGCTGGTAATACCTGTTATGAAGCGGGCAATGAGACGTGGGTGGCAGTGGTGGAGTCCGGTCGAGACTTTCGGGCAGTGCTAAACTACGTCATCAAAAATTGCCAGTCTATCCAGCTGATGCTCATGGCTCGGCAGCAGGAACTTTCCGGACAAGTAGTGAACGCGGTACAAGCAAACGGAGGGAATGTTGGTGACGTTTTGAGCAAAGGGTGGCCGGTGATATCTCAGCCATTATTATTGACGATACGTGACTTGGAACCGGTGCGCCAAATTGATTGCTCCAACCCAAGTGGGGTTGATTTATATGATTATCGTTACCTTTTTCCAATTTCAATTGTTCGCAGAATTGCATAAAATGGTGGGCGCCAAAAGGGTTAGACGAGGTCACTACATGGCGTATCGGTTTATCTCATCATTCATTACCTACTTTTGGTTTTCATTGATTTACTCGTTAATGTCACTTGCTTTCCAAATCGAGATGACCCGAGCCTATGGCCACGCTGGGTTCATGGTGTACTGGATGACAAATTGGATGACGATGACGGCCGTCGGGACAGTTATTGAGATTGCTGCGCTTATGTTGACGTTGTATTTCCCAACCTTACTTGGCTTCTGGTTGATTTTCTGGGTGATCTCCAATGTGTCGCCCACGTATACCCCCATGACACTCACGGCAAACTTATATCGATACAGGTACTCTTTCCCCAGTTACAATGCCTACGAGTGTACTAAAATGATTCTTTTCAACACCCACAAGGGCCACATTGGCTGGTGTTACGGTATCATTGCCGCGTGGATAATAGTGATGAATATTATCCTTTACTTTTGCATCGACTTATTCATTAAGAAAATGAGTCGGAAAGCTCAGCAGGCAGCTATGAGAACCGATGAAAAGAAAGGTTGATGTCTGATTTACGATGGGTTGTTCAATTGCATGAAACCTACATCAAATAAACCGTTAAGGTTGAGTAATCACGTTTGATGTAGTTCTTAAATAACTATAGATAGATATATCCTGAAATTCAATGGAAAGGATGATAATGAATGATTGCATAGAGTGTACATCTTGTTTCGAAATAATTTTGATAGAAATTACGCAATGTCTTTGCATGGTGAATATGAACATTGTTAATTTTTGCAAAATCAAGGAAAGACATTTCAAAGGCGCCGTGATCAACCCGTGATCAACGAGCTATCAGAGTCAAACGACTATGAGAAATAATCAACTGCATTCATGTACTACTTTTAGTAGTATTAAACGAGTTTATCTAGCATATTAGGCTACTTTGATATGATAAGGGGTGTGCATTCCTCAATTCTTCAATAAAGTCGTTCGCTTACCAAATTTCAAAAATTCAATTTTCACGAACCAATCGCGCTCGTCAATTGTGACCTTCATGTACCAATTTTTCATTAACTTGTCACAGAGGTCTTGAACAACTACACATTCTATGTTATGTTGAAAAAAAATATACGACGGAGTTGTTGATTCCGTTTCGCCTCAAATTTTTAGGTGTATCAGGTCACTCGTATACGAATTTAGCTAGAGTGGATCTGTGGGCGGTTCTTATCGTGCAGTAATTGAATTAAATCAATTGTTTTCTCGAAGCTTGGATAAAAGCGACTATAGGCATCCCCACTGATCGCTTTGTAGATACATTGGATTAGTATATTCCCCACGGGTGTTGTTGCAAGCCAACACTGTAGCCAATTTATTTGAATACCCCTACATGGATATTACCCCTCACCAGCCTAAACTGCTACTACCTTGACCGACGCCAATGCCAACCTCAATTGTCTCGTTCCCACCTTCCCCTCCTTCGATTGATTCAAGAATTTGCACCGCCGTGCCATTTAGCTTTTTTCTCCTCGTGGTCCGCGCTGTCGCTAAACTTTAACACTTGTGCCACCATGACCAGATCACACTTACCTCCTCTCCTCTCGATACTTTCGATGCTGATACCTCACTTTGAGGTTGTTATAATTCCTTATTCATCAATAGAGCTCTATGAACCCTTGGAAATGTCCCTGTTGCCCCTTTCCCCCAAATGACACGCGCCCTACCACCACGCGGGGCCCGGGCGCGCCCGTCGCACCCAGGGCCTACCAAGCGAGTTGCATTGCTGTTACCGGTGCGCATTGTCCCACAGGCTCGCAGTAAGGACGGGGATGTCCTTCAATATCCCCAAGCCCCTTGGCAGCGACACCCGGGCACCGGTGCCGCTGCTATCTGTCGACATTGGCTCGGAGGAGCCCCCCCAGATGCCGTCGATGCTGGCACCGTCGCTCCACCCGCTCCCGCTGAAGACGAAAGCAAAACGAAAACCGCCTCCCATCGACTTCGAAAAAGTCCAACACACCCCCGTCGATGCCCTGGAGCCAGTACCGAAACCCCACCCTTACAACATGCTCTACGATCACCCGCCAATGCCCCCGGCCCCGCACGCAGAGACAATCCAAAACGTCGACGCCATCGAGCTGCTTACTAATTTGGGTCCCGACCAGTGGCAGCAGCTCGCCGAATCGCAAGCCATTAAGCCCATTGCCACCTTAGGCGAGGGCAGCGGCGGGCTGGTGCTGAAATGTCGCCTAGGCCGCCACATTTTCGCCCTCAAGCTCATCAACTCCGATCCCAACTCCGACATCGAGAAGCAGATCGTGCGCGAGCTCCAGTACAACCGGGCGTGTCTGCTGCCGTATATCGTCCAGTATTACGGCACGTTCATGTTGCCCCTGCTGCTGCAGATCGGGATTGCCATGGAGTATATGGCCGGTAAGCTGTTGGACGCCGTGTACAAGCGGGTGATCGAGATGGACCCCACCAATCGAGTCAACGAGCGCGTGCTCGGAAAGATCGCTGTCGCCGTGCTCAATGGCCTCACGTATTTGCACCAGCAGCGCATCATTCACCGTGACATCAAGCCGCTGAATATCCTCTTTGACGCCGAAGGTAATGTGAAACTCTGTGACTTTGGCGTCTCGGGCGAAGTGGTGAACTCGTTGGTGACGACATTTGTCGGTACCCAATACTATATGGCTCCCGAAAGGATTTTGGGCAAGCCGTATCTGGTGACGCTGGACGTGTGGCTGTTAGGGCTCACGCTTTTGGAAGTGGCCCTCGGCAGGTTCCCGTTCAACGAACAAGGGAGCGATCTCGCCAACATGGCGCCGATTGCTCTCGTCAACCTCATATTAGAGTACGAGCCTCGCCTTGTCGACCAGCCGGACACTGGCATCTACTGGAGCGACTCGTTTAAGAACTTTATCGCCTACTGTCTACGCAAGAACCCTGAGGAACGGCCGCTGCCGCGACAGATGCTCCAGCACCCGTGGGCGCAGGGCCAGGCCAAGCTCGCGGTGCCCATGGACAAGTTCATCCAGCGATTGTGGGGATAATGGTAAATAATAATTGTCGTACGTTTATTATAAATGCATGCTGACCACTCACGAGAAATCCCAGTTCCCCGTAGTGTACCCGCGGTAGAGACGTTCTCTGAAACAGAAGAATTGGTCTCTGTAGGGAGTGTAGTACTCTTGTTCGGTGATTTGCGACGTCTTGAACGAGTCGGGGGCCACCGCTTCCTGGGACTGGCCTCGGCGGACACCGGTGAGACGGAAATCACGAGCCATCATCAGCTCGTCCCATTCGTCCAAGTCCCAACGGTCGTTCTTGTAACCGTTGTCCCAGTATCTGATAGCACCAACACCATGGCCGGCGAGACCGTAAAACGCGGTCATGATCGCATAGGGCAACAACCCTTCGAAAGGAACAGGCATGTTGAAGATGGATGCTCACATTTTCGTAGGCTTTCATTGGTTCGCACGACTACATGCAGGCGCGACCGTACCGATTAGTAGCACCTTAATTACAGTCGCTATATTCCATAGAATCAATAACTAGTATTATCATGAGTTTTGCAACAAACGTTTTTACTTGACGAACATTGATCTCAATGGTAGACTCAATTTTCAACTATATTTTGCCTTAGCCATTTTAAAGTTATTATAATAAAAATAGTGCGCGTCTCTACCATCTGAATCGTGATTCCATGAGTTAGATAGCTACAAAACGCCTCGTAATTGCTGAATCGTAGCATATGTCAATAAAAGAAGCGTTTAAGCTTTGTCAGCTTGTGGTATTACACCTCCAATTTTCTCAATGGTGTAGTTCAAGCTAATTGATAAACGAGAGTCTACTGTTGCAAACAAATTGCCTAGACATACAATATCGTAGTAATTCTTTTGGAAAATCATCAGCTATATCTTTGAATTCGTATAATTATCAGCATGGTCATCGCTAGTAATTTATCTACACCGATTACGGCAATTATCTATTCATTATAAGTCATCACTTGAAATCCTTATACGTCCATTTCTCGGTGACCTTAGGAGCGTACTTGCGCTTCTTGGCTACCGGCAATCTCGCCTCGACCTTCCCCAGTTTCTGCAACCCCAACATCGTGTCGTACAACAAGTTACCTTCCGGCTTGACGTTCTTCAAGTTGCTGGTCAATTCGTCCAGCAACTTCACCTCCAACGGTGCCTGCAATGCGGTGTACTTGAACAACTTCTTCACCTTCTTTTCCTTCCCGATGAACGATTGAGGCTTGACTTCTTCGATGGCCTTGGCGGCCAAGATGTCGTCAATTTTATTAAGCTCCTTCACCTTGATCTTAAGCTCCTTGATCTCTTGCTCCAACTGTAACCTCTGCTTGTGTCTGTTTTGCTTATTACGCTGATACTTGGTCTTTTTCTTGTTTTTCAGCGGGGCGTTCACCGAGAGTCTGTATTTGTCGTCGTCCTTATCGTTGTCGTTAGTTTCCTCGTCGTCTTCTTCCTCTGACAGCAGTTCATCGTGGTTATTCAATTCGGCGGCTAACTGAGCCAACTTATCCTTGAAGTCGTTCAATTCTTGACGGATAGACTCCTTTTGCGCTTCGGTGGTGTACTCCAGGTTGATCAACTCCTTCCACAGTTCCAACGTGGGGTTGTATGATTTACCGCCGTGGATGGCACTGTTGTCGTCAACCTTATCCAACGTCACTGGTGCCCGTTTGAACGATTTAGGAGCGTGTTTGGGCTTGGTGATGGGGGCCAACGGCAGCTCCGTCAACACCTTGGGCACGTCGGATTTGGGCTCGGGGGCGTCCCAGAGGTCGCGGGCATCGACGTTGGTCAACCCGTCCTTATCTATTCTCGCCTTGACCTTGTCTTCGCTCTTGTACTTGCCCCCGTTCATCTTGATCAAGTGGAGCAACTGCGTCTTCAGCACCCCGTCGAGGTTCTTCTTGGGCCGGGCCTTGGCCGCCGAGGCGTGAGGGTGGGCCAACGCCGCCACCTTGGAGCGGTTGGCCACGATCTCTTGGTATTTGGGCTTCTTGACCAGCGTAACGGGGACGGGGGTGGTGTCGATGACGAAGTCGCCCACCTCGATATCGGCGTCGTCCCCCAAGTGCCGCTTGCGGTCACGGGCCTGTTCGAGCCCTTCCTCGATGTCGGTGACATCGACGTTCTTGCGCCAGGCCTTTTTCCCCTTGCGTGACGTCGTCAGCTTCGCCTGTTTCGCCATCACCCTGGTTGTAAGACAGTCGCGATGAGGGCGCGATGAGATAAGCCCTCGAGGCGGGGAGCAGACCCTATGAACAGGAAACGAAACAAAACAAATAAAGTGATCTCTATCGATCAAAGCATCTAGAAGTAAAGTATTTTGGTTAATCGTAGTAATATTTAAACGAAATCTACTTCGTCATCTAAACTGATCGTGAACGGGTCGTGAATTTGATGCTCTATGGAATGGTCTAAAAACGGTACACGGTATATTGACGTTGACTCGTTAAGGTTGGGGGGTGGGTTGTGTTAGGCCTCAGCAGCACTTGGTCTGGGGCGCCAGGGTGTCGACGGAGATATCGACGGTCTGGGTGGGTTCGTTGGCTTCGCTACCACCCAGCAGCGGGCCTGCTTCCGGTAACGCCTGGGCAATCTTCTTGAACAACAACTTCACGTTGTGGTTGGCCTTGGTCGACGTCTCAATGTAGAACTTCAGCCCCACCTTTTGGTGCAACGCCTCGACCTCGTCCAGCGTCACCTGGCGGTTCTGCTGGGCCAAATCGGACTTTGTGCCGACGATGACGATGATGACGTCGTCACCACGCTCCAGCTGGACGTCCTTGATCCACTTCTCCAAGTTCTGGAACAGCTTTTTGTTGGTGATGTCGTAACAGACGACGGCGACGTGGGAGTCGCGGATGTACGACGGGATCAACAGTCGAAAACGTTCCTGTCCCGCCGTGTCCCACAACTGGAGGCGCACGGTGCGGTTGTCGTCCAAATACATCGTTTTCGAGAGGAAGTCGATGCCGATGGTGGCGGCGTACTGCTCGTCGAAGGTGTCGTACATGAACCGGGTAATGAGCAGGGTTTTCCCCACGCTCTGGTCACCCAAGAACACGATCTTGTACTTGCGTAGCCCCGGTGCCGGTTTGGCGGGAGCCGCGGGCGTGGTCATATGGTGATCGACGTGTTGGTGCGCGGAGGTGACCTGCCACGTCGGGATATCAGTGGTGCCGTGGCCCCGCAAATTTCCACGTGCGGGAATCGAACGCGCCACCTACACTCGGCTAAACTGGTTACCTATATATGTAGTATGCGTATGTATGTCGAGTCACGGCACCACTGTGTACTCCGCCAGCGGCAAGTTCACGATGAGTGAGGTAATTTTAGCGCCCCCGCTAAGGGCAAAGTGGTCAAAGTCGACGCGCCCGTGGCACCGCACCCCGCAGCGGGCGTCGTCGTCGACAAGATAGCTCAGGGCAAATTTAACGTTGTAAGGGACGGCGCTGGCACCGCAGTAGCCCCACCGCGCCAGCGTTGGCGCCAGCGCCGCTGCCGTCGTCTCCATCACGAGCTCGCCAAGCTCGATGTCGTAGCCATTGACGGGCTTTACCCGCCATCGCCATTGCACTCGCGGCGCCTGCTTGGAGAACGTGATGCTGGGCCCACACACCGTGGGGCCCTTCAGCTCTACCCACACCTGGTGTGTTTGAGGGGTGAGAGCCCAGGGAGGGCGATGGCCAAGCGCCCGCAATTGCGCCCGGAGCGGTTGAGCATGGCCCATTTCCGCTAAAGCTAGGTAGCGAACGTGGTCGGGGAATTCAGCGTCAAGGGGCGGGGGAGCGTCGCCATCAAAGTATGAGATCCCCTGGGGGTAGCGCCATTTGGTCTTGTTGTAGTGGAACCAGGTGGGGAGAAACACCTGGCGGTGGTCGTCGTCGCTGTTGCGGAAGCGGTAGTATTCGGCGCCCACGTACACCGTCACCAGCAACGCCGCCGCTGCGGCGGCGAGGGCAAACCGCTGGCGCCACGGGAGCCGTTGCTTGAGTGCCTCCTCAATGTAGACGTTGTTGGTCATCTCTATGGGGGGTGGTCCAACTGAGGGGTGCGGCTCACGAGGCAAGCATCGTCCCACGCCAACGCAGAGCGTCCGCAGCGACAGGTGGCGTCGGAAACAATCGCCGAGCACAGTGGCGCGTGACTGGGTCGGACTAATACTCGGCCCCTATGGAGTGGTTGCAGGTTTACCTCATACCACTTACGGGAGGCTTAACCCATCTCTGGTGACTACAATTGTATATGTAATTACTTCGGCCAACTGCCTTCAAAAATAGGTATTTTGAAAATTTTATTTGGTAAAGTTTGTTACCAGTAGTAATTGGCTTGGTTACTATTCTTAGTAGTCATTAACTGAGGGTGGAAGCGTTGCCAGTGGGGTCCCCTCGGTGCCTCCTATGTCGCGACTGTTTTGGTGCGGCGCACAGCAGAGCACTCTATACAACCTAGCATCCATGATATGCTCCATCCTGGGCGCCGTGGCCACGGAGCCGGTGGTACTGCCGAAACTGGGGGCGATATTTGAGCGCAAGCACTTGGTCGACTACATCAACGCCACTGGCACCGACCCGGTGTCGGGGGAGCCGTTGGCCATCGATGACATCATCGCCATCGCCGTCGACCCTACGGTGCCGCCGCTCCCGCAAACGCTGATCCCTCTGCTTCTCCTGGCGTTCCAGACTCAGTGGAACGCCACTGTGTTGGAGATGTACTCGTTGCGCCGCCAGTTGGCCGACACTCGCAAACAGCTCAGCGAGCAGCTCTATAAGAATGAGCTGTATAAACGGCTATGTGTGGAGGCGATGAACCGACGCGACGAGCTTGAGCAGGCGGTGAACCAGCTCACGGCGGCGATGGCCGAAACTACGGGCGATACCGATACTCAGCGTAAACGGAGAAAAGTCGACACTAGAGAGACTAAAGACGGCACCGGAGATAAACCAGAAAATGGTACCAATACAAACGATAAAGTTGCAGAATCGGCTTCAGAAGCTAATGTCAACGATGCGGTGGCTAATGCCGAAGAAGCGGCTAAGTACGCCGAGGATATTGAACACGCCCGCGACGAATTATTTGCCCTCCACAAAAAGCACAAAATCAAATACAATTATGGTGACCTTGACGGCTTCCCTTCTTCTCAAGAATTGCATGTTCCTAGTGCTAAGTTCCATGTGGAGAATGCTGCGGTTCGTCCTAATGGCAAAGTTGATATTGTTGGTGCGGAAGTTCTGGAAATCTTTGACACCAACTCCAACGAAACCACTCCGGTTGACATCGGTGGCAAGTACGTGTTTGACCTCGAAAACCCCGTGGTGGCTTCAGAGGAATACATCGAACACAACGACCACCAACTTCCAGTGCGCCACGTCTATCAAGTGGTACGCCACCCCTCCAACAACGATGTGTTTGTGGCATTGAATAACGACGCTGCCACGGTGGTATACCATGATAAATTGTTGCCTGACTCATACAAGCCCAGTGCCGGCGAATTAAAGTGTGGGGCGTTTCACGTTGACGGTGGTCTCTTCGCCCTCGGCTCTCTGCAGGGTAAAGTGGATGTATATAACAACATCTCCCACCTGCTAGCGATGACCATCAGCACCACTCATTCGGAGGTGGTGGCCATAAACTTTGGCATGAACGGGTACTGGATGTTTGCGTTACTGCGAAGTGATGATGCTAGTGCCATTGACCTTGTTGATCTTCGCAAGAATAAGATTGTTCAAACATTCACCGTTGATGGATCGGCCCAGGGTTTGGCGATTGATGACTCGTGCCAGGTATTGGTGGCATTTGGCAGTGAAGGTATCCAGGGCTGGCGCTATAATAAGAAGGCCAAGCTGTGGTCGGAGTCATTCAAAAATGAGAATAGCTATAAGACGATTGGGTTTAGCAAAACGCGCTTGGTGGCGGTGAAAGATGACGCCAGTATCGATAGCTACGAGTTGGCGGAAGCGCAACCAGACACGAATTGACGAACTTAATATAATATACACTACAATCAGAATCACAAAAAAAGAATAAAAAGGGTAAACAAAAAGAACCTTTGCAAACAATACTTTTGCTAGTGAGAAAATACCCATATGAAGACAGATTAAGTGATTTTTGGGGCCTTTCCCTAGATCCACGTCCAAATACCCCATTGTCATTTCGTCTTCTTTTCGGATTTTATTATTTTTTTTGTTTTTTCTTGTTTTTCTTTTTTCCTTCTTTCAATATTGACTGTACCAATGAACGTATTGAATCGTGAATATAACGAAAATGGTGTTCAACAAAGTTTTTTCTCAAATTTATGAAGATAGTTTGGAAGTCTCAATGATTGCTCACAAGTGCAGGAAACATTTGTAGACAAATTGACTACCTCGATCTTCAATTTAATCTATCATATTACTGTTGTTGATAGCATTTCAGGGGTTCAAAAGCAAGAGTGGTAACATTTTCGAGTTCAGTAGACCTCACAACTCACATTTGTCCTGTATATAACATCCCGCGCTGTTCGTCAACTCCTGCGTATAGGGCACTCGCCTCTCGTCTAAAATTATTTCAAATTTTTTTTTCGACTTTTTTTTGAAGAATTTTTTCTTCTCGACAACGTCTTCTGAGCACTATGACACACATACTTGA